TGCAATAGGGAATGAGTTAATATTATTATTAATTTATTATTCTACACACGAATGGCGGCGCCCAAAAATTGCTGCAGATTTATATTCAACATCATCGCATCATTCACTTGACATTGACCAAACCAACACGAGTKTTCATACTCCGTTGCTGCACTAAACACTATTAATATTTTGAATTGACGCTCACAATCATCTGTTAGACCACGGACTAAAGATACTTGATATCATCGACTGACCGCGTGTAYGATAGGTCGTCTGGTGCGTCAGCAACACGAAAACTKAAGTTTTCATACGACGTTATATGCGAGGTATTTTTGATCTGCTACACAGAGAAGCTCAGAACAGAGCAATACAATTAATAGCGATGATATCATAATTACCTACAAAAAAATCAAACCCTGGAGTTTGTATTTAAGCAACATGAACGTTTAAAATACAACTCTAGAAAATACATTTACATTTTCATCTAATGTACATACCATTAATTTCATTAATATTTAAATCCGAAGTATTCACCGACTATTCTATAATTAATAGTAGCACATTTAGAAACAAATACAACCATGTTACTATGTTTTATTGGTACAACAATATTTATTATYGAATGAAAAAGAATAGTTTAAAAAATGTGTGACGGGATTTTACGCAACTGTTTATAATATTAATTTTCAATCGGTTCTTGGTCATCGAATAATCAACAAAGATTTTATAACAATAAATTTTGAACCTCTAAGCTCGTTTTTTATACAAATAAAAAATAATTGTTTTCGTTTTCGAAATGATTATATTATATTCTATTAAAATAATAATTTTAAATACAAGTTAGCAACTGCTGTATGTTGGGTATATTGATTAAAAAAATAATAATTATAATAAATTTAAAACACAAGTTAGCAACTGCTGTATGTTGCGTATACTGATTAAAAAAATAATAATTATAAATTATAATAAATGATGTTTAATATTTTTAAATTGTTCAAATTAGTTCTATTTTTAATAAAAATGTAGCATTTGTCTCAGTCAAAAAATACATCAATAAATTTATCTATACAAATTATAACATAAATTGAGCATATTTAATATTGAAGACAATACAAAATATGGTCAATAAATAAGCTAAATCTAAAAATTGATTTYATTATCATTCTTTAAATTTAACCAAATCGTAATTTACCATTAAAATTAAATGAAAACATACAATGAACATTAATTGTAAATTGATTTAAAATGAATTGCTGAAATTGGAATAGAATTGATTGCTTAAAACTGATATTATGATATATCTAATACAAATGAGTATAAATAAAAACTATTTTAAACCAATGAATTGATGAAATTCTTCAACCATAAATTATTTGATGAGTTTATCAGAATATCATCAACTTATAAAAATAAAAGTCGAAACAATCTTGTTTAAATTTTTTATTATTTAATTTTTTTTTTTTGCGAGAATATTTGTCACACAGCACGAAAGTGCATTTCTTTCATAGCGTACATATAAATATCCTTATTGACAGTATTAAGTTTGTATGTTATGGACTATATCCATTTTTTTTTATCTGATTACAAATACAAAAAGTGGTTTTCGTCATAACAAAAAAATCAAACTTAACTGTAAAATAAAAATCAATTTAGACAACATATGAATCTCCTATATGAAAATAATGAAATGGTAAAGATCTCGCAATTTATTTCCGCATGCGGTTTTCTCTCTAATATTAAAATTACAAATTAAAAAAAAAAAATTAAAATAAACAAAAAAATTGTATGTACAAAAAATAAAATTACATTTGTATTTAACAGGAGGTAATTTTCAGTTAAAACCTTAATTAAATAAAAAATCCAATGGCATAATTTAATTATTATACTCCTGGAAAATTAAAATGTAATTTTAAAATTCATCATAATATATCAGTCTGTAAAGAAATATTTTTACGGTAAATTTTGTAAAGTTTTAGTAAAAATATAGGAATCTCTAATATAAAAATTAAAAATTTGAATCCAATATTTATTATTATTATTTTTTTTTTTGTTGAGACAAAACCAATTTTCTACAGTTCTTCTGTACAAAATTACTTTTTAATCTATAACTTAAAAATTAACTTATTTGTATTTACAAATTTTAAAATTAATATTTTCGAGGTACGAAAAGAAAAAAAGATTCTGATGTGAATCTGAAAGAGATCACTCGTCATCATCTTCATCATCATCATCTTCGTCACTTTCATCTTTTACTGCCATCATTTGTTGTTGTTGCTGTTGTTGTTGTGCAAGTATTTGTTGTTGTTGCTGTACCAACATCTGATGTTGTTGTTGTTGTTGTTGTAACAAGGTAGGCTTGCCCTTGTTTTTGTACTCGGTCATTTCCTGTTGAGGAATACGAGAATTAAAATTTATATYCAAARAATGAAAACTGATCTCATGTTAAATAAATTTAATTTAAATATWACATACCCTTTCATATCTGGCTTTATCTTTTTCTGCCATTGCTTCATACTTCTGTTTCACTGTAATATCAGCATCAGACCATTTTTTGCCCAATTCTTTGGCTACATCACCTACACCATATTCTGGGTTCACAGCCTTAACTTTTCCACGTTCATCATTACAGAACCAGAAGAAAGCAGACCTTTAATAACACAATAATGTATTAATTACAAATGTTTTATTAATTGCTTCAAAATAATAATAAAAAAAAAAATACTAACAAGGAACGTTTTGGTGCATTAGGGTCCTTGATTTGCTTCCTCTTTTTACCACGTACTTTTTCACCCTTGGGTGGAATATAGCTTTGCATTTCAGTATCATATCTTAACTTGTCCTTATCAGCCATCTCATGGAATCTTTTCTTTTCCTTCTCATTCATAGTCTACAAAAAAAAAAGATAGATATAGTAATAATAATACAATTTGAATATTCTTTTTATTTTAATGTATTGTTATTGTTTGTATTTAAATGTATGTGCTGTTGAAATTAAAATGTAACGTTTTATTATGTTAAGGACAAGTGCATCAATATCCGATGTAAATAATATACATCATTTAAAATAATTGTTCACTAATAGCTCATTATTTAATTACTGTTTGCATTATTATAAATTAATAATTGATTTAAAATTAATTATTAGATTAACATATTAAAATTTCTGGCCTTCCAGACCTTCTCCCCCCCACGACACAAATCACATGGTCTGAAAGCAAGCCAATAGATTTTTTGTGGAACATTCAAAATACACAAAACCCACGGGATACTGAAAATTTAAAACTCAACAATATATAATTCTATTAATTCTAAAAGTAGACAGAATGGTGGGCAGAACTTGCCAACTGGGGACGACCACATTTAAATTAACGCGAATTTATACAGGGACATGACGTAAAGACTCTCAAACCACAAATTCAGAACACGATATATGTGGAGAGAGAAAGGGGAACATGGCAACAGCAGCAGAATTCACAGCGAATTATAATAGAGATTCGTCGATATTATACAACTCGTAACCCTCTACGTATCGCCGCACTACCTCACCCTGCCATAGCTGATGTATCTTTGAAAAGAGCTTAATGTGCGAGAACAGCGTACGCGCGTGTGTGCAGGCTGGCTATTACCGCGCTGCGAGGGTGCGGCGAACACAGAGTTGTATTTAAGTGGGAGAAGAGGGGGGTTAATTTTAATAATTGCGCCAGCGCTCTCAGTTTTAAACTCCGCCGCCATGTTATCCCCGCACCCTCCAGAAAACAACCCCAGCATTTTACACACAAAAAATCGATGGTAGAACCCCCGAGCTCATTCCTACACACACAACACACACACGCATAGCAGTTTTCCTCCCTCTACACCCCCTGTTGGACAACACCAGCAGGCAAATAACCGGGCTACTACGATTCCTGCAGCTTAATTTATTTTTTACGTTTTTAATAACAAATAATAACTCGTACAATAATATTTATAGCAAACTYGACGAAACAACAATAATATTTCATATACGTATAWACATATTAACATTACTACTATGATGTTAAATGAAAAATAAATGATTGAAAATTCGTCTTCCGCGTTACATATTAACTTGCTTATAATATATATTATTTTAAATAAAACGAATTTGTCGCCGCCACTGCCACCACTAYCCCCCTTACTACCATCTGTCTTTTTAACYACCACTGAATGGCATTTAATTTGTCTGGTGTGTGTCCCGAGGTTGCGTGTTCTAAGTTCTAACCGAAATGGACGAATAACATATTAAGTAYCTGCTTATATAATAATAATAAATAAATGCATGCCCGTGTACAAATTTTATACAGMAAATATATACGTAACGTGCGCATGCGTCACCACGACTACGGGAATGGTTGTGAAACAATATTTATACGGACCAGAAAATATATTAATAAATATTATAATATCGTTTTGTTTTATATACGAAAAACACGGCGGTGGCTGCAACAATAACGCAAGACGACTGTTGAAATATTTATTTTTTTATTTCGATATTATTGTTGGCAGCAGTGGGTGCCGGTTAATCGTGCTTGTGTGCTCGTTCCTCGTTTGTGAGCGCACGACAAGGCCGGGAACGGATCGAGCGCGCGGGGTAACGACGATCCATCGTACAAAAACTGGTTCCCTGGTATGTGCTGGATGGCTGCTGACCCATCCTCTCACCCCCTTAACGGAAAACCAGTCCTACGAAACCCCAGCCGGCCGGCGACTGTAACAGCAACCGCACACGGTCACATAAAGACATGGTGCTGGCGCAACAAACGCGCGCGCGCACATACACACCATACCAACCATTTTGTTTCGACAGAAAAATTAAAACATTAAATTTTCAATATCAAAAAATATATTATTATAACGCACGCAGGAAACGAGTGCAATAATATACGGAAGGCGTTGCTTATAATAATCGAATAGAAACGACATACACGCCGACGCAAAACGTAACATTATAACGTCGGACGGTATACATATAATATTATTTTAGTAGTGAACAGTCTTGGAAATTATTACGAAATCGTTACAATAATTTCTTGTACAACAGTAGTAGAGAGCAGGTGGTGCGCGCAATCGCTTTTTGTGTCTACCTATATATTATATTATTTTGTTATGGGTGTTATAACGACGACGGCGGGCCTAGTATTTTCTTCCAAAAAGAAACGGTTTTGGTTTTTTTTTTTTTTACAGTTCGAATTTTAATGAATTCCAGCTGCGGCAGCGAATCGTACATAAKTTAAATTCACGCGTCATATTTGACTTTTTAATTTGGATTTTAAAACGAATTAAATACAGCCTTCGTGTACTCGTCGTAATCTCRATAATAATCGAGACGGAAAAATTTGGCGAGCAGATTAGGTCGGAAACAGAAAATTTACTGGATTTTGTTTTTAATCATGACATACCTTGGTGGTTTATAGTTAGTTGTTCGCAAGAGAGGCTCGATTTGGGTCTGGGAGAAAGGAAAAATTACGAATTTTTATATTTTTTGTCGGTCATCAGAAACGTGTAATATAATTTGCTGTCGTCATTGGGGGACAACGACGGCACCGTGATGACGACTCGTATGTTTTTTTATTTTTATAATTATGCGTGCGGGCAATTAGCCGTAATAGCGCGTGTGTCTGTGTCTCTGTTTAAATAAAAACGTAAATATAAAATGAGTTTTGTGACACTGACCTTCCACCTTTCGGCGCATTTCTTCGAGAACTCGGCGAAAATGACATTCTCATCAGGGTGTTTCTTTTTGTGCTCTTCGCGGCACGTTTGTACGAAGAACGCGTACGCGGTCATACGACCTCTGGGTTTCGCATCTGTCCCTTTTCCTCTAGGCATTTTCCCTCGGTTCTGAAAAACAATAAGCATTTACATTAAWATTGTATAGCGCGCAAGATGAACACAAAAAAACATTGGTTGATGTCCTTCCTACTCGTTGCATAGCAGAATTCCATTTTTAAATATACCCAACTGCACACGATAGTCACAGCTCGATTATTTTCATTTACCAACGGTAAAAATTAAACTTATCTTCAGGTTAACCGCTTCACAATACGTTCTTACAAAACATGTGCTTATTAGTTGTTACACAAAACGCATTTACAGAACAACACCTGAAAACTCGTGGGGTTTGTTCACGCTACAATAATAAACATCTGCCTTTAATACACGTTTGTCATACTCACACATATCAGAATAATATATAAACTACAAAAACAATAAAGATTAATATAACCGTACAACAATTTTTAAATAAAAAAATCTGGACACTTACAATAAAAAAACCTGCTCCTTGTTGTCTGAATTCAACAATGTACATAAAAAATGACGAATGTTCAAAGGTCATTAAGAAATACATAATTATTAAATTATAAATAGCGTTGTTGCATCATTAGAGCATAGTTGAGTGCTGTTCCCCAAAATCGCTATGTTCAAATTTATCGGTAAAAATAGTGATATCATTATCAACTGTTCAATTGAACCAATCGTTAACTTATTTATGGATTATTTCTCAAGTAATTTTGGTAAGGTTCTGAAAAATATGTTAACCACTTTTTAAGTTAAACTTTTTTAATATAAATTACTACTTTTAGCCGAGTAATAAGATGACCAATGATACTGAAGATGACTTGTAGGTATTAAATCGCGTCAGTGTTCAGGCTTTAGAAAGGTATGAGGAGAAATAAAAACAGGTTTATTACTTTAAAGTTCTACTACATAAAATACTATAGTTTGAGTGCCTTATAACAAAAACTGAAAACACACATTTTAAAATATTTAAATAATTGTATACATTTACTTGAAATAATTAATAATTATACGAAGGAAAATTATATCCGACATTTTTTAAGTGGTATAAATAATATTTTAAGGACAGATGAAATAGCACAAGAAAATTACTTGTATTAGTTAGTGTTATAGGTCATCAAATGTTGAATTTAAGAAGCGAAAGTTTGAACGTCTTAACGACTTAATTGTTGTATGGATGAAAACAAATAATATTAGTGAAAAACAATTAGTACTTGAGTATTTTTTTGAAAAAACAACAAGTTACGTTTGAGGATACTACTAGCATATTTTAAAAATCTTTAATAATTTGTACGATTGCTATATTATTATATTTTACTATATAAATAGGATTATTATGAAATATACCGAGTCATCAAAATCTATTTCGATTCTTATAATTTTGGGAATATCAAATTAAATGATAACAATATACTCCTACGATGGAAGATGTATTAAATCAGTGGTGTATGGTTGTATGGAAATACCAAGATATGAATAATTCAAATTCTATGTTAAATGAGCATAATAATTTAGACAAATTAAGAAGCGCAAGTGCGTTACATAATTTAATATAATGTAAAACACTACAATGATTCTCTTCTTTTCATTCATTAGTAGTGTTTTAACGTGTTACGTGATTTCGCATTGTTCTAAATAATAAAGTGAAACAGTTTTATTGTAAATCGACAATTATTGAAAGTGAAGGCTAATGACCTGGGCCAATCAATATAAAACTAAAAATCATTCTTCACATTACAGCCATATTATAGACAACGCGCAAATAGTTTGATCAATGGTATAATACTTTTATCAATGGTTTCCACAATTTTATGATAATTCGAGAATAGCTTATCGTTAAATTATAACAGACAACTACTGTGTAATAAATGTTGTGTATGAAAATAATTTATCGTTTTTTTCGTTCATTCCTTATAACTGAAGTTAATAAGCAAATATATTATCAATTATACCTGCTTATCTTATATGTAATAGATAATTAAGTATAACTTTTGACACAATCAATTAGTTAGTTAAAACATAAAATAAAGCACCAACTTTTAGGCCAAATTCGATAAAACCGAAAAAACTGGTTTAACTGGCAGTAAAATAGTTATTAAAATGAAAAATAACAGTAAAACCTGTAACTACTCTAACAAAAGAAACAGGTTCTTGTTCAATCCTTTCCCTGGCAGTAAATTATTTGAAGTTCTTAAAATATTATTTACTAATTAATGTATGATGTCAAAACCACGAGCGGAAGGTAATAACATTTATTAACATATACAATCGATTGTACCTATTTAAAATCAATAAGTTTTGGCAAAAATAGATTTGCCCAAGTATAATTTATCGTACCTTTAATTAATAATAATGAAATTTTATTTTGAACAAAAAACACAACCAATAATATTTAGTTATACAGAATAGTATTTAAAATTTAAAACGCGAATGCAAACGACTAGCAGTGAATAATAACTCATTTTCTTGGAACTGCTGGACCAGAAATAATAATCCATGAAGGCTATAGAACCCTAAAAAACCTTGGCATTGGTCTGTCTTTGTGAACAATTAACATCTGTTTTGATATCATTGGTACTCAAAATATACAACAGTAATTTATAAAAATATTAACTAAATGAATTCGATTAGTTAATTTATAATAGTTATTTCAATTTTGAAAMACACTGTAGGAAAAGTAGAAAAATACATGGCCTCTTAGAAGTGAAAACTGAATACACCGAAAACAGGCATAGGAACCGAATCGTAAATTTGTTTCTAATTATTGTGCATTGAAACGGCAACTAAAATTACATAATATTATTGTCCAACTATTTATAAAAACAATAAAGTCTATTTTTGGGAACAAAACTAACACAACAAGAATTAATATAGGACAACATGCCTGGTCATTAACCACATGCAGTCGGAATTTGTTGGTTTCCTCGAGGTAAATCAATGGGTCTCGGTTAATAACCGTTGGCAGACGATACCTACTACACAATTTTACAACCATCACATAATCGACGGATAATATTGGAAAAAAACAGAAAAAATCATAATCCGATCACATTGACCACTATCACGGTTTTACAAGAACAATGTCATAATATAATAGTAATAGTAATAATAATAATATAATGTGGGTAACTCGTGCGTTGTTCTAAGGCCACATAACTTTCTATTTATCTACTCAATGACAAATTTATCAGTAGGAATTGCAAGAAAAATGCGTACGTTTCGACGTTTTACGCGATAGATTATGTGAACACGAAAATACAACGTAGACAGAATATAAAATAAAATACCGACCTGATCGGGTTTAGCTAAATCGTGGAACTTGGGACGGACAGGCGCGAAAATACATCGTTGCCCACGCGTGGACGGGTGGGCTCATTCAAAGAAAAAGTGGAAAACAACAAACAAAAACCGAAAATGCATTCTACGAACATGCATTGTCGTCGTCAACACGGTTAGGCAGCAGAAAAACAACATGTGGACTCAATATTGTGAATGAAATCATCAAAATGTACAATGCACAACATATAAGAGATAAGGTTAAGCGGCATCGCTCGCTCACACGACTCAGCGTCACGCACGCGGTCAGTGATAATTAACCGACGAACGTCGGGACGTACACACAACAATAATTATTGTTGTTATTATTGTCGTCATTTGATCAAAATATCAACGGGCAGAGATCCGCGGTAACGGCGTTAACATCGGCCTGAACGAAAATAAAAAGCGATGGTCGTCGACAACGACACAACGGTGCTGCTGCCGAGATTATCGACTTCTACTAACCAACCGGCAATACGAATAACCCTGACCGGAAGCGAAAATACGTTACATACGCGCAAAATAATATTACTATTTATCAGCTCTCTACAGACAAACGCGCGTAATATACAATATACACTGCRATGAATACATTTTGCTGTAAACACAAATGATGATAAATAATCGTGTGGCGCGCGCGCGCGTCGTCGCGTTATCAGACACACGCATACGATGTATGTGCCCACGTACGTACGTGCATGGGGATAATAAACGCAAACGGCTAACACGTAAACAAGACCACCAATTACCATGATCGAGTTTGGCGATGGAACGTTGTGCACATTTTGAATGTTGTTGTCCATGGCTCCCGGGTACGACCACCATTGAGCCGCGGCGGCGGCGGCGATACCGTAGCTGTCCGCGTAGTTGGCCATCGGGTTCCTGGAGCTGCTCGTGACCGTCGTCGACACGTTGCTGTTGCTGTTGCTGGTCGACACGCCGCCGGTGTTGTTCAGCTGCTGTTGCTGTTGCTGCTGCTGCAACTGCTGGTGCTGCTGATGGCTGAACGACGACGCCATCTTATAGAACTGCTGGGCCGCGGACACCGCGGCAGCCGCCTGCTGCTGTTGCTGCTGCGCGGCCGCTGCCACGGCGGCCAATTGCTGCTGGTGATGCTGGTTCAGCAAATGCTGCTGCTGCTGCTGTTGCTGTTGCTGCTGCTGCTGCTGCTGCATGTGCTGTTGTTGCTGTTGCTGCTGTTCCTGGCTGYTGCCCCACCACAGGTTGGCCGCAGCGGCCGCGTGGTCGTCTCGGTTGCCCCAGCCGACATTGTTGCCCGCGCGGTTTTCGGACATGCCGCCGGACTGCGAATGGTGCAGGTTTTTTCACACGGATAATACACTCGGCACACGATCGGACACCAGACGTGACGCACACACGCGCGTACACTGGGCACTGTTGGTCGCGGTGTGTGTTTGATACGCGGCGGGTGTCGGTAGTCAAATTATGTGTATATATTATAATATTATATTAAACGAACGCGGCGCACACGTTACGTGGTCGGCGTGTGCGTGTGTATGTATGTATATAATCGGACGGCTCGGGTACGTACGTATGTGGTGTGCCGCCGAGTGCGTAGCGGGGCGAAATCGAATGTATATATGTGTGTGCACCACGCGAGTATGTGCGGAAAAAAAAACAAAGGGAACGACGGACGCGTGTGTATAGTATATAATATCTCACTGTAAACGCGCGGCCGACGGTTAAAACTGCGGTGGAAAAGGCGGAGAGAAGGAGAAAAAAATAACGAGGCAGACCTGCGTGTTGCCCGCCACTAGCCGAACGACGACGACGTCGGCGACAACGGATGTTACCCCCACCGCCCGTTTCGTAAAAACCCAATGGCGCGGCCGGCCCCTCCGATCGTGGTGTAGCTACCGGTAACCGGCATTGCCAACCTCATCTCTAGAAATCGTGAGCGGCCGAACAAAGAACATTTATATGCGCGCGTACCGAGGGAGGGAGGGCGGGCGACCGACCCGGCTGGCTGGCAGGCAAACGGACGGGCGCGCGCGCAAGCGAGCGAGAGAGAGGAAAGAGACGCGGCAAGAGAAACGAAATAAAAACCGCGCTCGCGCAGCCAAGGCCACCGGTCGTTCAAGGTTTCCGCAGTTCACCACCGCCGACGTAAGGCGCGCTCGGACGGCGGCAAACGCACCAACGACGCACGGTGGTGGCGGCAGCGTCCTTTCCCTTTTTTCGCTCCAGCGACACACGCACTCGCACGAAATATTCTCTCGGAGGAAACGCGGTTGTTGTTGATAGTGGCGAGGGGCACAATAAAAGACGTTTAAAACGAAAAATTACCGTATCAACGARTAACGAAAAAACACCACCACCAACATTACCGTACACACTGCCGCCACCACTCGCACAGACTGATGAAATTACGTCGGATTAATAATAATAATAATAATAATATGTATATATATATTATATATACTAAACTATGCGCAACCGTGATATTGTTTTTGATACAAAACGTACGTACACGACGGTTAAAAAAGGCGGGATTTTTGGTTAGGAAATTATTTTTYGTTCTTCCCGCACCTTGCCCGCCAATTTATCGTTTTTGAATACAACAATCGATACACGGTGACCGAACCGTCGGGCATCGTGGTTAGTGGTTATGYTCTTCGGATATTTTGCGCCGTACGACGCTCGGTGCGCAAACTGGGAAACACGCGGTTCGGCGTCGAATTGGCGACTGTCGCGGGCGCCCGCCGGCGTAGAGTACGCTTGTACACGGCTATGGCTCTGCGCGACGGCGTCCTCTCGGTCAATAATAATAATAATAATAATAATAACGTATTTTAAGGCATAGGGAGATAATATAAGTGTAATATGTTCTTGGTGTGTTTGCGCGCGCGCGCGTGCGTTTCGCCACCGCCGACGCCATAATAATCGACGAAAACAGGGGTTTTCCGAAACTCCAGACCGAGAATAATCCCCTTAGAACAAAATAATAAAATATAACGAGTTCACAGCAAAACAGCAAAACAGCAAATAGACCTCCACACAAACGACGCATGACGCAGACTTCATGTTTAGACCTTTATAAACGTTTTGCGACGTCGGCGTTTACACCAAATCTTAACAATTCCAAAGAACGATAAAAAAAAACCGTTATCCGATACCGAGTAACAATATGTCTTCACAGCACACAACAAATCGTGCCACAAAATGATAAAATATTACTGTGCGTGACATAACATGTGCCATACTTAAAATATTTTTTTTATTTTTAATCTAGATTTTAAACAATCTGTACATAAAAAAAAGTACAATATGCATAAGTGATAATATATTTTTTTTAATTATATACATGTATTAGCTTGAGTGTCTAGAGGGAAGAACCAACCAGCGAAGGTACTTCGGCGTGAATATTAAATTATTATTTCGCGGGAGGGAGGTTGTGGCTGCAGGTTCGAATCCCTACATGGGCTCGTTCGTCATCTACAGACGACAAAAGAATACCAYATTTTAGGCAAAGAACAAATTCCAACGTTTTATCAACACAATTTYGGATCGTTGYTGAACCTGACACGAATGTTTGACCGAATCTGCGATTTTGGACGCCCTGTGGTGTAAAACGGCGTAAAGAAACACAGCACAGCCCGGCCGAGCACAGCATGTGCTGCCACCGGGGATGCAAAAAGTTCATTACTGCCCGGGCTGTGCGCGTCCCTTTATCATTGATTATAAAAACACTAAGCCATTGAAATCTATGATTTCGTGCACACGGCTGCACGAAATCCTGGACAATTTGAAATCCGAAACTAATCATTGACATTAGGATACACTTTTTAATCAACGAGATAATTATTTTAAAGAATAATAATAATAATAATGATTAWAAATTACATAATTTATTTATATTTAAAATATTTTAATTACCATTAAATATACCTAAAATATCGTGCCAACTGCTGAAATATTATTTTGAATTTTTGTTTATTTTGAATTGCAATAATTATAGTTGTTACATAACTTTTAATAGCTAATACAAACCGCAGTAATAATTGAGCAGTAATAAAAAAATCGTGTTATGCTAAGTCAGTAGAGGCATCACATACCATGTTTGTATAAGCACCTATTATTTCAAATATAATAATTCTATAAATTCTAAAAAACCGATGATAACTAATGAAGTTACCTCGAATAGGCGGGTAATAAATTATATTAATAAAGTAAAATATCGTGTATTTAAAAAGTATAGCAAGTAGTTTTATCAAATTTTTATGTAATTATATATAAATATATATAAACTACAATTCATTTTCTCATTTTTTTGTCAATAGTTTTCCGATATCCATWGACATATAGATAGAACAATTATATCAAAGAAACAAGTAGGTACGATTGTAGTTTTTCTTAAAAATGTGTATGTATAAAAATACAATAACTAATGAGTTATAAGTAATGAGTAATAATAAAAATTATATACCTAGCATAAATTATAATCARCTACCTACTTATTAATCAATCATTAGTTAATTTATTTATAAACAGTAAGGCATAAAAGATRTGAAAATTATTATGATAAACCWAAGTCTATTAATCTAAGATTAAATGGTGTTAAAATAAAATTCCTAGAAAAATTAATTTTTCGAAATGGGTAGTAGTAACGACGTTTTTATACATAGGACAAAATTCAGTGATGTGAATAAATAATTATGAATTTAATTATTTTAATAACTTATAAAGTACCTATAATCTTAAATTGCATTTATAAGTACTTGGTTTGGTTGTTTTGTTAAATTAAAAATGAGATATTTCACTTAATAGATACGTTAATGGCATTTCAATATTTGTAATGTATTCCAATATTCCAAATGACGAATCAAATACAAAAATTGTGACAAAATAGAAAACACAGTTAACTAATAATACACCACAAGCTTATTTACTATTTAAAACTATCAATAAAATACTGGTAGTGAATAACGTTGTAGTCTTACAACTATAGATATGCACATGAGTATACGAATATTTTTACCGTCACAGTCTTATAATCAATACTACCTTATTATTGAACACACAATTTTGACATAAATTTACTTAAAAGTTTACAATCTTATAAACATTAATATCTATTGAGATAACAATTAGAACCGTTTCACAATAAATAAATATATATTAATCTTAAATTTTAGATTCTTTAACAAAATGTTACAATAATATTATTTACAATAGGTACTAAATGTGTTTACTAAATCTATATATAATAGTTCTTGGCCAAAAAAACAGATTCAGTTCCACAATAACTATCGCACTATCTTAAAATATAACCAGACGGTCAACAAACGGCAATTAAAGGATAATACATGCTATTTATATACTAATTTGTTCTGAAACTAATACAATATTATTGTTTAATTGTTTATCTTATATTATCAAGTAATTTCTTTGAAACCGAACCATCCTAAAATAGTTATCATGTTAATGTAGAATCTATTATTTTTTTTCCAGAATACTGCAGCAATCCACACAGAAAACCACCATTAACAAAAATGAACCAAATTAAAATTAGATTGACAAAAATTAATTCGTGATAATTTAACCTACCGAAAAACAATAGTACCTATAAGAAATGTTTGTAACAAAATATCTACTTACAAATTTACCTTCTTCCGGAAATCGAAAAAAATTTTAAATTAAAATATTAAGGGCTAATGGACGACGAGCTAAGTGTAACACGTTCGTAAACGACAATAATATTGTTTATCGGACAGCAATAATAATCCGAGAACCGCTAATGAGACAGTATTATGAGAATATAACGTATATATATATATATATTATATATATATATTCAATAAATGTATATTGTATATTATTATGGTATATAATAATAATATTTTGAACTAAAATAATAATTACTATTACGTACCGAAACGAGTTTTTGAACAATCTTCGTCGATGAAAACTAGAGAGAAAATAAAACGAACACACGATTTGTGTACAAGAATTTAAAAACTGTTAAAACCCACGGAAATGGTTCGTATTATTTGCTTATGATGTGTAGCGGCGGCGTCCCCATTAGTCGACGCCAACGTTTCGGTGGTAAGTAGTATCAATGGTTTCATAATGTTTCATGCGCGGTAAGCTAACGCCATCTGTTGGACCGAAACGCATCTAACGGTCCCCTATCAATCTACCAACCGTTTTTCGGCCGTTATGTAAACAGACGTCGTCCCCGGTACACAATAATGGTACGTCCCTACGAGCGTTATTATAATAACAACGACGCTCGACGATAATACTTAAACTTGACGTGGAAACAATACAAGGAATAGTGTACGTTCATATTATTATACGTTATCGTACAGTTATTATTGTTGTTATTATTATTATCATTACATTAAAGATTAAATCGGCTGTAGTTTTGGGACGAAAATCGTAGAGGTACGCGACACGAACGATAAAAGATTATATTATWATTGACATTTGACCGGCCGATCGATCTCAGACCAAGACCGATACTGTCTGGGAACAATATTAATGTCGTCTGCAGTTTTGAACACACATACATAATAATAATAATAATAATAATAATAATACCTGCCAACATCACCGCGACAAAACCCGTACATGGTAATGTGCGAACGATAAAAATAAAGAACTGACGATAAAGATGACAATTATATGACGTCGAGTGTTCTTTGGACAACATGAACGCACAATAATCTCGTTACAATCTATAACCAACCACTTGCACACAGCAAATGTAGTAAAATATGACCGCAATGCAAATAAAACATCTGCCTGCAGTAGTTGTTGAAAAATAATATAATAAAAATTTGCCGACTTGCCAGAGTTAACACATTATGTAATATCATTAATACATTGATGATGATAATAATAATAATATATTATGTAGGCACYTCCTAATTGTTTATGATAATAATGAT